TCGCGAATAGAGGGTCTGTAGCACGTGGCTTGCTTCATAAATCTTGCCTTCGGAACGGATCCTCAGTTTCTTAGATGATTTGTATGTTACTACCACGAAGACCCGGGTCGCCACTGCCTTCCGCACGGTTGTTCAGGAGGTGCAAACCCACGCAGGCGCGCGTTCACATTTGGGTAAATTGAAGATGTGATGTCGGGGTGGTGGTGGCACCTCTTCCGATGTAGCCGCCTCGGGGCCAAACGCATGGACCGCATCGAACCCAGCAGCTACCAACGGATTGGTCGCACTCGGGGCGCCGCTGGGCACTGCGGAGTTCATCGATGCCCACGCCGAGAGACGATTACAACAAGAGAAACGGCTCTTACAGCACATCGCCCGCCTCGGTGACCCCCAGAGCGGACAATGCTATCTCAGTCTGCTGTCTTTCGGGCGAACCACACCGCGAGGATCCTACCGCTTATGGCGCCCCGCGTCTACGCAGATGCGCGCGACGACGCTATTTGGGAAACGTGCTGCGAAACATGTGGGACACAAGCCTTGTGCAACGTCGCGCGTGCACGGCGGATGGCTACTCTGCCGGGTCGACTGGGCGGTTTGGGCTTCCGGCCAGTTGCGCGATCCGCACCGGGGGCCTTCTGGGCACCGTGGGTAGATGCGCTCCACGCGATTGCAGCAAGAACGCTGGCCATGGGCACCGACGCGGCACATGAACTGCAAGCGCAGGGGGCGCCCACGACGCAAGTGTTGCGAGACGTGGCAAGTTGTGCAGGGCAGTTGGGGCAAGTCGGCGCCGACTGCCATCCGACTTGGGCGGCTGTTGTAGCAGGGGTGGCCCCCCCGACTCCAAGCGACGACGTTGATTCGGCGGATTTCGATCGGTGGTGGCAGTGCAAAGCGTGTGCTTTCTTGGAACCGAATTTCTTGATCCACGTAGTCCTCCCTGCCTGCGACGACGCCCATACCGCAATGTCATTGTCACAGTCTGGAGGGCCTGCCAGCGCACGGCTACGAACCATTCCATCGGATCCTACATCTATTCTGACACCTCCGGGGTTCCAGGTGGCTATCCCGAGGCGGTTGCGATGGGATCTGCCCGTCCTGGTTGGACAATGCAGCAGGTCATGCCATGCTACGTTGGATACGCTGGGCGACCACGCAGCTGCGTGTTCTCGGAGCGGTAGGCTAAAATCTCGATCAGTCCCTTGCGAAAGAGTTTGGAAACACATTCTACGAGAAAGAGGGGCCAGGGTCCGAGAGAACGTGGCTCTCCGCGACACCGCTGTATCTACTATCGACCCACCGGACGGGCGTGTAATCGAGACCGTTGCTATAGGTCTCCCCGTGCACCAGGGCGTCCCCATGGCGATCGACGCGATTTTTGGTCTCCCCACTCCACGCCGATGGCTCGCCATGGGCTTGTGCTCCCACTCGACCCGGGGGTAGCTCTGACACGGGCGGCCCATAATGAACATTTCACATACAGGGAGTCGGTGGCGAATCCTGTTCTGAGGCTCGTAGTGGCAGCGACTGAGATAGGAGGGCGCTGCAAACACGAAGTGTTGCAACTTTTCCACCAAGCGGCGGCTGCTAAAGTCAGGTCTGCCCCAGCCCCGCCCCAGCCCGCCCCAGCCCCAGGACCATCTGGACGGAAAAGGTGGTCTTGAACCGTTGGCTACCGATGTGTGGCTGGTTGGGTAGTTCGCGGCCTCTCCCCTTTCCTCCTCCTCCTCCTCTTCCTCCTCCTCCTCCTTCTCCTCCTCCTCCTCCTCCTCCTCCTCTTCCTCCTCCTCCTCCTCCTCCTCCTCCTCCTCCTCCTCCTCCTCCTCCTCCTTTTGGCCTGCTTAGCCTGCTGCTGTGGCTTTGCAGATGTGGCGTTTCACTCCGATTCAAATCGTCTCCGATGTTGCTGCGGAGAAACAAATGGTTAGGTGAGGTGCGTCGGGAATTTCCCTGGCCCGCCTGAGTGCCCGGGTGCCCGGGTTCCTGCGTGCCCAGGTGCCCAGGTGCTTTATAGCCCTAGCGCCCTATTGCCCTATAGCTCTATAGCTCTATAGCCTCATAGCTCCATAGCCCAATGACCTTATAGCCCTGTAGCCCTATAGCCGTATCCCTATAGCCTTACAGCCCTATAGCCTTATGGCCTTATAGCCCGATAGCCCTGCAGCCTTATAGCCCTATAGCCCTATAGCCCTATAGCCCCATACCCCCACAGCCCTATAGCCCTATAGCCTTATAGCCCTATAGCCCTATAGCCCTAAAGCCCTACCTATACTACCACGCTTCGGGTGATAAGGAGGTTGTGGGAGCGGGGGGAAGACAGGGGGGGGGGAACCAACATCTGACTCAATCGATCTCACTATCGATCTCACTCAACGGGACAACACGGGACACCACGGGACATTTGTCGATCTCACTATCGATCTCACTATCGATCTCATTCAACGAGACACCACGGGACACTACGGGCCACCACAGGACACCGCGGGACATCTCTCGATCTCATTATCGATCTCACTATCGATCTCACTCAACGGGACACCATAGGACACCTCGGGACACCACATCGATCTCCCTATCGATATTACTATCGACCTCACTCAACGGGACACCACGGGACACCATGGGACACCAGCGGGACACCGGCGGGACACCAGCGGGATACCCGCGGGACACCGCGGGGCACCGGCCACCAGAGGAGTTACATTTGGTCTGGCCGCGGCCCAGCCACAGGAGGATTTCGGAACACGCGCGGGACATCGGCGGGACACCGCGGGGCACCGGCCGCCGGAGGAATTACATTTGGTCTGGCCGCGGCCCAGCCACAGGAGGATTTCCTCTCGCCCGCCCACGCAGCTTCGCCTCGCCCGCACGCACGGACGGCACGCACGACACGAACCCGAAACCGAAATCGATTTCCCGGTAGGGGGGACTCCGTTTCACGTCGGACTCACCCCCAAACCTCCGATAATTTTGTAGATATATATGCATATAGCCCTGTAGCCCAATAGCCCTACAGCCTTAAAAAGATTATTCGGGGGAGCGTCCGTAAGACCCGGGTTTGCCAGGACTCGGGTTCGCCATCGTTTTTTGACGACCGCGACTCGGACTTTGACGAGTAGGAGTTTCGTGGGATGTCTGCAGCGGGAAGCCTCGTCGAAATGCAGGCTCGGCCTCGTCATTTTTGTGACGACCTCGTCGGGGATTTTCGAGTCCCCTGTACCCAGGTCTTACGTTCCCCTGGATTCTGATAGGGGCTTTTCTCTGGTCTCATTGTCTTTGCGTTGTTTTCGGCGCCTATTTGGCTTTCCGCGTTCGTTCGGTGTTCTGCGCCTTTTGGTTTTCGGCGCTCTTGTGGTTTTCGGCCCCGCTTTTGATTGTCGGCGTGCTCTTGGTTTTCGGCGCCTCTTTCGATTGTCGGCGCGCTTTTGGTTATCGGCGCCTCTTTTGGGTTTTCGGAGTGCCTCTGGATGTTGGTGCTCCCTTTAGTTTTCGTCGCATATTTGGTTTTCGCTGCCGTTCTTGGTTTTCGGTGCCGTTTCGTCTTCGGCGTTTCTATAGTTTTCGGCGCCTTTTGGCTGACGCGCCCTATCGGTTTTCGGTGGCTCTTTGGTTTTCGGCGTTGTGTTTGTTTTCGGCGCTCTTTTTGTGTTCGGCGCCCTTTCCTTCAGCCAGGGGGGTGGCCCGAACCCCCTCTATTCTTTAGCGGGGGGGTGGGGGGCCTCCCGCAGGGGGACCCCAAAGGGGGGGTGCTTTTGAAGAGGGAGGGGGGGAGCTTCCAGCGCGAAAGGGGGGGGTAGCGTCCGAGGCGCGGACTACAAGAGGGGGGGGGGGCTGCTGGCAAGGGGGGGCCAAGGGAGTGGTAGCTAAGCCCCGAAATTGACATTCATCCCGGCAAACTGGTACCTCTCCCGACTCGTTGGGTCCAACCCCGGCCGTTTGAACTCATTCGAGCCAGAGAAAAAATAATGTTTTTGTGTTCCCCTTGTTTTCTTCCAGATGCGTTTTGGGGGCTCCCTCGGAAGCCTTTGGGGCCTCGCGTAGAAAGAAGCCTTTGGGGCCCCCGTGCAGGTTTAGTAAAGGCTTCTGGGAGGCTTCTGCGAGGCTTCGTAGAGAGTTTCAGAGGCTTTTGGGGGGCTTCTGAAAGGTTTTTGAGAGGCTTCGTGGAGGTTTCTGAGAGGCTTATGGGAGGCTTCTAAGAGGCTCATGGGAGGTTTCTGAGGGGCTTCTGGGTAGAGGCGTCTGGGAGGCTTTTTGATAGGCTTCTGGTAGTCTTCGTGGAGGCTTTTGAGAGGCTTCTGCGAGGCTTCTGCGAGGTTTCTGGGAGGCGTCTGAAAAGGCTTCTGAGAAGCCTCGGAGAGGCTTCTGGGAGGCTTCCCTCCTCATCCTCTTCCCTCACCCCTTGTGCCCTTTCTCCCCCGCCCCCTCCTTGCCTCCATCCCATCTCATCCCACGTCCTCCCCCCGATCCTCCCTCCGCTCCTGCCTCCTCGCACCCCATCCGCGCCCCCTGTTCTTCCCCTTACCACGGCGAGACTTCGCCCCCTGGATGTCCACGGTGCCCACGGCGAGATTTCGCCCCCTGTGGCGAGGATGTCACAGAGCGGAATTCGCTGGGAAAAGAATAGCATGGGGCTCGATCGTCCTGGACAGTTTCGTTCTGGATGTCGCAGTGAATTTGGTGCGGATTTTTTTCGGTCAGGAAACACGTGTACTCACATCCCACGTGAAATTCATTTCGTTGTCCGCTGCCGTTTCGGGGCGTCGCGTTGACAGAAACAATTTGCTGCAGCACGTCTGCACGGTCGGTGCAATGAGATGCGGGCTGCCTGACCTGCATCGCGGATGCCACCCGTCATCGGCTCTTTGATTCACATAAACCCATGCCCAGATCAACACATCAGGTGAATCAGCCACCAACCTAGGCTCCCTCCTCGTCCAACACCCCCCGATTGCCGCGGACGCCCTGTGGGCCGCTGTCCCGTCGCGCGCGCGCCTCCGAAGGCCCCGGGCCAAGGCTTTGCGTCCAGCAGCGCTTCGCGGCCGCCTGCGAGGAGGGCCGGGTGGGTGGGTTGCGGTGGGCATCCTTGGGATGTACGAGAGCATGTTGCGGACAAGATGGGTTGTGTTGACATGAGTATTACATTCAAATGTGATGATAACGACGCGTGATAAGGATGCAAGCCCCTTGGACGCGCATGCCGAAGCTGTTCGAGAGGGGCTGTCCATCGAAAGTTGTTAAGGTGATCAAATAGGCAAGGATGCAAGGATACCCTTGGGAAGGTTGCCCATCCCTATCATCGGTTTCGACTGTACAGCTATTCCCAGTATTACATCAACGGGTTATTGGAACGATCTTGGTTCAAAGTTTACGTCACACCACCTGTTGGCACGCGCGAGTGATATCATACTTGTTGGCGCCCCTGCGCCGCACCCGCAGCACGCTGGGTGGGTTGCGTCGCATCTTCGGGGTCCTCGCCCGCTCCAACAAGGTGTTGCCTTTGCTTGTGCCCGACGCAGGCCCGATGCGGACTAGACGCAAATTTGGCGACGGTTCGACGTGAGTTCGGCGTGGCCCCGACGCGGGTTCGACGAGTCCGACATGGACTCGGCGCGAATTCGATGCGGTCGGGGCGCGACCCGGCAGCCAGTTCCCCGAAATTGCAACATAAGGTGGGCGGGTGGTGTTTGGGTGGATGGGTGGCTGGTGGAGGTGGATAACAAGAGTGTCCGCAGTTCGGTCGGTTCGGCTGCGTCGCAGTCGGCTGCGCCCTTCGAGGCTGCTTCTGGCAGATCCTGTTTCGGTCGGTTTCTGTCTCGGCTTCGCTGTCGGCTCGGTTGGTTATTGATGGTGTCGTCCCCGTGAGCGGCCTATTGCGGAAGCAGGACGAGGACGGACCAGAGTGGTCAGATTCGTGGTGCGTAGCGTGTCACGTGGGAAGCTAGGGAGTACTTGACAGGTTACACAGATTGCACACTTCGCGCCACATCGAGATGTGGGACTTTCTCCTGCTGCAGGGGCACTGGGGTGCATCACGCCAGGGGCTCTGTGTCGAACGGTGACCAGAGCCCGCTTCGCCCGACCTTGCCGAGAACTCTCGCCGTGCGCCACTCGTCTCAGCAAGTGTACGGTTGCTCAACCCGCAGAAAGGTAGGGGTATGCATGTGGAGTTCGATTGACACGTCTTGAGTTGCTGGTAGCCTTCGGTTTCACCATGCTGTAGATGTACGGTCGCGGCAGGCTGATATGACCATGCGCGTTGGGATGTCCGCAGGGCACGTAAAGTCGCACCAGTGGAGTTGTGAGCTTCGAAGAATATGTAAACATACGGAGTGGAGTCGCGGCGACGCCGCGGGGCCTCAGTATGCTGTATCTGTGAGACAGCAGCGTGGACGACGCAGACAAGTGGGGTTGTCTTCTCGGACATTGGTGCGTAAGCTGCCCGCGCAAGGTCGCGTGTAAGTATCCTCGTCTCCACGCGGTTTGCCGCGCTGGCGGCCTGCGTAAGCCGCCGCGTAAGGTCGCTATATCATCTTGACCCGCTTACTTTCGTCGCCCACGTGGCGTTTCGAGGCACCTGCGTGGAGGATAGTGCAGGATATGGTGCAGAAGTGGAGCTGACGCGACCTGTCTGTGAATCTGCCCGAAGGCAGCCTGGACAGTGGCGTGCCGCGACGCCTCGGGTTCGGCGCGGCGCTGCTGCGAAGTAGGTGTCAGGCCGCCCACGCGGTGGCTTCGAGGTATCGCCGACGTCGCCATGCGTTGGCGACTCATTTCGAATACGTGGCGCGTGCTCACGCATAAACGTTCGAAGGTCCGCACACAGATCCCTGGACCTGCCGTGTGTGTGTGTGTGTGTGAAGTCCGCCCGCTTCCCTATTATATCCATTCTTCCGAAACCGTATTGGCTCAGGTATTTGCTAAACGACAACAGTGCATTGCTTGCTGTGCAGTGCCATGGAAACGGAGTCCTACTTTTCGCTTCTACCTACGGACCTCGTATAGGAACGGCCCCTCGGCCATCTCCCCATACACACAGGTTATCAGCCTTTTCTTATCCGCCTCTTGCTGTTGCAATTCGCGTCATCTTGCATTCCGCCGGTTGGCGCCGTAACCTTGTTGCGTTCTCTGCAAGCGTGCGATCTCCTCGACGGCGCATGCTCGCGACGGCATCATGCACAAGGGCAGGAGAAATTGTGATACCTAGATCCTTTCAGGTGAAGGCAATGCTGCGTCATTCGCGGCTGCACTTGGCGAGCTCTTACTCGATTATCCGATGCTTCCGCCGCCCCCGCATGCTCACACGCCTCGACCCTCGCAACAGCGGCTGGGTTCGCCCCCCGCGGCGCCTGATACATCCATGTCACGCCCGTCGGTGGCTACACCCGCAGTTGTCCCGTCTGTCGTGAGTGTCGGCGCTGTCTTCACTACGCCTACTGCCTCCTCCCCACCCACCTTCACGGACACGAGCGTCGGCGGCAACACCCGCAGCGGCCATCGCACCGCGAACGTGTTTCATGACATTGCTCACGCAAGCAGACGCCGCTGGGCCAAGGCCCCATCGCCAACAAATGTCACTGTCTCAGAACATGTGCGGGTCATCTGGTTTTCGAAACAGTATAATATACGTTATCCTACCAGAGATGCCAGTTGCAACCCATCTCAACGATGATCCCGGCACGGCTTTCACCAGCGCAACCTTGTTGCGCAATATTCACCAATTGCCACTGATATGGCAGAGCTCCGAGACCAGGTTGAAACGTAGACGACCCAACAGCTATCGGGTCTGGCCGCTCAGACGGCCACCATCAGACAGGAGCTGCAACGTGCTCTTGCCTTGGTCGATGCCAGGATCACTGAAGATCCATCGATCACTTCTCAGGTGCAATCCCCTCCCTGGATTGGTGGGCTGGTCATGGGTGTGCACGGCCGGCCGGCAGCTTTCGGCGGACACCGGCCACGGCAGGGTCACGTGTACCCCACGCGGTCCCGCTGTGGGCGTTCAGGTTTGAACGCCGCCAGCGGCCCAGAATCGGCACAATGGAACGATCTGGGGATCGAGCGGCCGCCGATTGTTCAAGGTTGAATGATCCACGCAGTGACAGGGACCAGCGCTGGAGTCGTTTGTCACGAAACGGACCAGCCGTAGGCATGTAGCACGAGTTCTAAGGCATCGGTTCGGCGGCGACCCTGGGTGGGAAGTGCGAGGGGGCTGGCCTTCTCAGAAGGCTTTGGAGCCCCAGGCCTTCTGAGAAAATTTCGAAGTTTTCTTCGAAGACGTCGAGAACTTCTCAGAAGGCGCGAGGGCTTCTGAAAAGCCCCGCTCCCTTCTGCGAAGGCGCTATCTTCTCACATCCCCCCCTCGCTCGCCGCCAATCGGCGGCACGGGCAGTCGGGAGGCGTGGGGTGAAAGAGGAAACAGGAAACTATTCATATACGGGGATTGTGAAAACTTGGACAGACACGAGTCATTGACAGATTGAACGGAGGGATTACGCAGGGAAGGTTTGACCCTCCAGAGCGACAGTTTGATGTGCCGAGTCGCAGCGAGGCCTGCCATTGCGAGCCGTTGCCTTCCTGCTTGCGCTTCGCTCTCGGTCGGAACGTCTTTTGCACCTCCCACTCGAACAGCTCGTGATCGCCTCTTCCGCCCTGAGACGCGGGAAACCCAGGGAGTGTGGAATGCGGACGAGGAGGACGAGGGTGTCAACCGTTCGGTTGGATCGGCTGCGCCACAGTCGGCTGCTTTCGGTCGGTTCGGCTCAGTCGGCTTCCGGCATGTCCTTGCCGCGCCGGTGCGCCCCTCTGGTCCGCCTCGGCCTGTCACGTTCGGTCGGCTTCGGCTTCGCTGCCCGTTCGGTCGGTCTTTGGCCGTGCTGTGCTGTCGCCGTGGACGGCCTTGGAGGAAGGCAGGGGGAGTGAGGATGTTCGGCGGCGAGCGAGGGGGGAAGTGAAAAGGAAAAAACCTTCTCTGAAGGTGCTGGGGATTCTCAGAAGCCCCCGCGCCTCCTGAGACGTCTCTGGTGCCTTCGGGGAAGGCTTCGAAAGCCCCTCAGAAGGCCAGGGGAGCCTTCTGAGAAGGGCCGCCCCCTCTCACTTCCCCCTGGACTCGCCGCAGGGAGCTTCCTGGATGCCAAAAGAATATCGCACACGACTGTTCTCCCCCAGTCCCCGGGTTCTGCCCGACAAGTTTGACCATTCAGAAACACGGGTAAGCCTTGGGATGCATTCAAATGGGGCTATTCAGACGCAGCCCTGCCGATAATGGACGCCCCCCCCTTGTACTTCTATCCCAGGGTTGGGCCCAATGTTTTTGTTCGTTCGGACACCGCCCAAAACCTGGGATAGGGGTCGACATTTCCTCTCCAAGAAAAGTAGAGCGCCCGGCTCGGGCGCCGTGGAGACGAGCGCGTACCTCGTGGTGCGCAGGGCGCGAGGGACCCGGGCCTGTGGCCGAGCGGCCCTCCCGCGGGCTCTTCTTGCACACGCCTGCAGCCCGGGCGGCCCCTCAGTGGGCCTTAGAAACGGCTCCGAGTCCCGAACCATCATGGCTGGGGGTGGTCAGGGATAGCTACAGATTCGCGCCTCGGGGGCCCAACTAGCAGTTACCCCGGACAGCAGTTATCCCGGATAACGGGCGCCCAACTTTCCCGAATCATCGGGGCTGGGGTCAGTCAGGGGTAACAACAGATTCGCGCCTCGGGGGCCCAAGCCAGAGTTACCCTGGTGTGCATCCTGGGGGAGGGCACCTTCGAGCGCTATTGAGTTTTGGCCGGCGGAGGGTCTCATGTTCTTGAAGGATGTTTTTCTGTCCTAGGTCCGACTGTAGGGTTCCGTCGCATTTGTTTCCCGGTTCCCGTTCCAGATCCGATTCGAGCGTGTTTTGTGCTGGTCCTTTCCGGTAAGTCATTTGTTGCACAGAAGTTTTCGCAATCAAGAACATTATGTTTTGGAGACAGAGAGAAATTGGGCCGGCCCTTCCTGAAAGGGGATGTCAGGGCGTGCGGGGTGGGCGTGTGTTTGATCGTATCCTTTCGGAGCAGCTTTGGCACCGAACAGTTGGTCGGGGGTGTACCAGAAACGGTATGGCGCCACTGCTGGGGAGGCGCCAGATAAAAAGTATCAGCCGTGGGTCGTGTACTGGGAAGGTTCTTTCTTGTTCATTCCTTTCGCACTCTCGCCTCCACTCTCAGGTTCACCATCGTACTTTCTGCCACATGGCTCTCCCGCCGTCTGGGGACAGTTTGCGTTGATCAGTATTGCATTATCGACCATCTGATTGTCTGACATCCGAATCGTCTATATTCAAGGTATGCCGTGGCACCGGTTCGCATTGTATGGGTTAAGTGGGCGGTTTGGTGTTGTATGGGTCGCAGTAAGGATCAGGTGGAGCAGGGGATAGTGGATGAGGAGGGGGACGACGACGAGGAGTGTGTGGGGACGCGAGGGGCAGCATGAGGATGGTCATGAGGGGGATTATGCAGACGTCGGCTCGTTGACGGCGACAATGATACATAAGGACGATTCTGATGCGTGAGCGCCCATGGTACGATGATGTCGAATAAGGTGCTGGCGACGAGCATCAGTGAGGACGACGGTGGCCACACCACAACCTATGGGGGCCTTTCCGCGTAGCCCCCCCACATTGGCCAGCTGCGCCCCAGGGCTGCGCGCAGCAGCCCGTGGGGCCTAGGAGCCTGCATTGAGGGCGCCAGAAGCCACGAGGCGCCCCTGCACACCGAAAACAAGACAGGCCATCTGAACGGGCCGAAAGCTGGAGTGACACACGGAGCAGTGACACCAGCGTCGGTCCGACAGCGCCCCATCAACGTCGGTTTCCGGGAGTCCATGGCGCGCGGCGACGGAGAGGGGAACAGGAACGCGAGGCAGGCAGACGACGGCGACCGCGCAGGCGGGAGGCCAGGGCTGGCGCGAAGCAGGCGGGCGGACAGGCTGGAAGGGACATCCCTTTTCGGGACGCTTTCAGGGATATGCCGAACGCGTAGTACTCCTACTTCCTTACATTTCGATTCGTTTGTTCCGTGGGGCAGTTGTTGACGTTGCCACCGCCAAACTAAACAATACGGTAAGTAGTTTTCGCTGTCGAGCGATTCGTACGCCAGCCGCTTGCGAGATCTCGATGGAGCACCGATGGCACTCAGTGGTTCCAAGGGCGCCGTCGCCAAAAGAAGAGCACCACTTCCAATATCTCGCATCCGGGGCATTTTGGGGGCAGCACCGTCGCCAAGCATCAGCTTGCGGCAAGAAAGAGAAGAGCTTGGCAGTGTACGGTCGGTTCATGCGGCGATGGCGCGCCGGCGACGGTAGCGAAGGCGTTCAAGGTTGAATTCCGCCTGATCCAACGACGCGGAAACACCGATGGACACGGTGGCGCCACCGGCCAGACGGAAGTCAACCTTGAACTACGGGGGCCGCGATTAGCTCAAGGTGTAAGGATCGACTCGGCGTCAAAAACGTTTGCGCGCGCCGACGCCGCTCGAACCTGCTGTGATCATCCATAGTAAGGACGGGCAGGTTTCACGAGGGCAACCTTGCGTCCTCAGATTTGTTCGGCATTGCGCCGCTAGAATGGCTTCAACTGGGGCGTACAAGGACCGTCCAAGGGTCTTGCGTCCTTGCAGCGCGTCCTTACTACAGATTTTGACTGAACCGTACGCTCGAGTCTCGTTCGCCGCGGACTTTCGCAGGGCCGCGCTCCCTCGAGCGAGGGCAGTCGGGCCGCCTGGCGGGCGCGCCTAGCGGGCGCGGGGAGGCGCGGACGGCCGGGGCTCCCTCTGCCGAGGCCGGGGCTGAGGCCCCTGTCGAGGAGGGCGACGGCTGCGGCGACTGCGGCGCTGCCGCGGCCGACGCAGACGCAGACGCCGACGACGACGACGTCGCCGCCGATGGCGACGGTGGCAACGGCGACGAAGAACACCGCCGCCGATGGTGTTGGTGGCGGCGGCGGCGGCAGCACCCGCCGGCGGCGACGGTGACGGCGCCCTTGGCGCGCGCCACGCGGCGCGCACCGAGGCTCCGAGAGAGAGAGAGAGAGACAGACCGAAGCATCCCCCGATCGGAGGTTGGGGGGTGAGATCGCAGTGGAACGGAGACCCCCAACCGGGAAATCGTTTCGTTTCGTTCGTGTCTTGCGTGCGGGCGAGGCGAAGCTGCGTGGGCGCGCGAGAGGAATGATCCTGCCGTTGCTAGGGCGAAGTCAAGAGTCAAGACAAATGATTCTCCCCCGCCCGCCCGCCCGTCCGTCCGTCCGGCGGTGGCTCGCTGTGTCCCGCGGTGTCCTGTGGTGTCCCGTGGTGTACGTCAAGACAAATGATTCTCCCCCGCCCGCCCGTCCGTCCGTCCGGCGGTGTCCCGCGGAGTCCCGCGGTGTCCCGTGGTGTCCCGTGGTGTCCCGTGGTGTCCGCCTTTTTCTAGGGCGAAGTCAAGACAAATGATTCTCCCCCGCCCGCCCGTCCGTCCGTCCGTCTGGCGGTGTCCCGCGGAGTCCCGCGGTGTCCCGTGGTGTCCCGTGGTGTCCCGTTGAGTGAGATCGATACTGAGATCCACACTGACTGAGATTGATGTGCGTCCCCGAGGTGTCCCGTGGTGTCCCAAAAAGTGAGATCGATAATGAGATCAATAGTGCGATCGACAGGTGTACCGTGGTGTCCCGTGGTGTCCCGTTGAGTGAGATCGATACCGAAATCGATAGTGAGATCGATGTGCCCCGAGGTGTCCCGTGGTGTCCTATGGTGTCCCGTTGAGGGAGATCGATGGTGAGCTCGATAGTGAGACCGATAGTGAGATCGAGAGGTGTCCTGCGGTGTCCCGCGGTGTCCCGTGGTGTCCCGTGGTGTCCGGTGTTGTCCCGTAGAGTTGGATCGATAGTGAGATCGATAGTGAGATCGACAAGTGTTTTGTGGTGTCCCGTTGAGTGAGATCGATAGTGAGATCGATTGAGTAAGATTTTGGTCCCCCCCCCTCGCCTCCCCTCCCCACAACCTCCTTATCACCCGAAGGGGTATGTTGTTCTCGATCCGCGGCCCCAGTCCTCTCGACCCCGTTCCCAAGGGGTGGTTGTCCGTCCCCGACCAAGCTTTGGTGGTCCCGGGGCCCCCGATGACGTCTCCAGGAAGCCGAAATCGAAGAAGAATGCGGGCATTCGATGGGCGGGAGCCATAAGCAGACATGCTCGACGGTCCGCGCAGATTTCTTTGGTCGGCGATCGGCCCCCCCTGGCGGCGCCTCCTGCGCCGCCCGTGGCGCGCCCCGCGAGCCAGGGGGCGGGGGCTCCAGCGCCGATCCAAGAAATCCGCGCGGACCTCGAGAAAGTATGTTCATGCATTGTGTTTTTCCTTGAGGCATCGAAAAGATCACATCGTCCGGTCGCTCCACGACCCGAGGGGGTTCGGAATGGAGAAGGCCTCACATCGTCCGAGCCCTCGGGGAATGGGCCGCGCACGCGCGCCGGCAGGCCGCGCGCCCTGGCGCCGCCGGGGGGGTGGCCGACGTGCGCCTCTGGTCCGGCGCGAGCCCGAGGAGCGCCGCAAAGGGGGGTCCCGCAAAGGGTGTGTGTGTGCCCCGGTGTGTGTGAGAGAGAGAGAGAGTTCGATCGATTTTGGCACCGAGCCGCCCAAAACAGATGCCTCCCAGCCGCCGGCAGCTCCTGACAGTTGCCGATGGGTGGGGCATGCGGGGGGCTCCTGCTTGCGGCAGTTCGGTGCCCCAACGTGGGGGGGAGGATTGCCTGACGCAGCACATCCTCCATCATCGGGATCCAGGCTGCCGAGAAGCTGCGCGACCTGATCCACGACGCGACGGGCAAGAACATCAAGATGGACTTTTCGCAGCAGACGACATTCATCTTCGGTGGCGGCAACGCCCAGACCTGCACTGGCAAGGCTACGCCCCCGCTGAACACTGCCGGTGTAGATGGCGACCTGGAGATCAACATCCCGGACGCCGAATCTCCGTCGCTGATCGGGGTGAACGTGTTACGACGCTTCAGGTCCGCGATCAACTGCGAGAAGAACGAGGTCGAGTTTAAGAAGCTCGGTCGCCGAGCTCAGCTGCTCTCCCTTCCGAGCGGCCAATTTGCTGCACCTCGTGGCTGAAGCTGACTTCGGCTTTCTGGCGACCGTTGAATAGGGGGTCGCGCCCTCAACGCCGATCGCCGCGCCAGTGCTGGAGGGTAACACAGACAAAGAGCAGCCATCATAATGTGAAGTCACGCGAGATCCTACATATGAGCCCGAAGGCCCGTGGAGCCCAAGATGGCCCTCCAGGGGCTCCCAAGACGAGTCCACGTGAGACCGCGGCTTCGGGTGCGTCTTGGAGGCTTACATCACCATCGTTAACGGGATCATCAAGATTACCAGCGGGTTTCGGAATACCACAAACGACGACGCTTGGAATTTCGGATACGGAAGCTTTTAGCACGTCGGAAACGGCATCTCCGAGACCGATGTCGGCTACTCCTGGGAATGCGATTCCGGAAACCACTAGCACTCCATATACATGAACATCTACTCCAGATCCCTTAGAGGCCGAGACACTTCCTCACGAGCGCCCAGAGAGCCCAAGATTTTTTGGACTCCCTGGAGATACAGGTGCTCCTCCGTCCATAGCCGTGTTGGCAAGAGCCGAATCTTCGAGCCCAGAGCTCAGCGATTCTCGTCAACTGCAATTTCCACATGAGCTTCAATCGCGAGGCTAAATGCCGCAAAGCAGAGACCCAGGAGGTCAGGGTCAAGGACGAGGAGATGAACGAATGGGAGGCCCTTCCATCGACCCGTCCAGCCTTCCAGTGGGCAGCAGATCGCAGCGGGCGCTCTCAGCAACCCAGGGGCGCCTGCAACTGCCTGCCGGACGGCCCCCGGGGAAGTTTGTTCGCCGCACTGGGGTGGGCGGGGAGAACTATCTGATGTTCGAGATCGAGGAGAGCCTGGCGAGGGGCTCGGAGTTGTTCCTGGACGAGCACTTGCCGCAGTGGGAGATGTGGACGATGAAGCTACATCGACGCTGGACCTGCACGACGAGATGGGGCAAGGTAATCTGCAATGTTTTTCTGAAGACCGTCGACAAGCATAACTGGAAGCTGGACGGAATGAGACTTCCTGCGCCGCTCACCCCGACAAGGTTCTCGACTTGGAAGCCAGACGAGGAGCCCGGCGTCAAGCGGGGGAAGATTCCAACTCCCAAATAGATCAAGAAAAAGACTGCTGCCGTCTCCCAGCAGAACAAGGAGCTTCGTGAAATCATCAGGATCGCAAGGTCCGGCTTCTTGACGAAGTACCAGGACGTCAATGTCCTCGCGGGCATCGACGCGGAGGGTATCTACAGGCTGTTCAGCATGATGACGATTGTGAACCATTTCAAGCCGCTCTGCAAGCTCTACGAGCTGTCGCAGAGTGGCCAGAAGGAGGAGATCTGCGATCGGCTGGTAACCTGTATCCCTCAGCAGCTGGGCGACGCCAAGCCGGCGGTCAAGGTCCAGCGGGAGCAGGAGACGTTGACCAAAAGGCAGGAGACCAAGCCCTTTATCATGGGCGGTGCGGTCTAGGATCGCTGCACAGTGCTGCGTGGCTCCGGAATGTCGTGCCCAGCGCGGGACCGCCAAGAACGAGCCGATCATGAAGGTCAACCCTTACGGCTTGTGCCGCCAGATGTGCGCGGAGGAGATCACGCAGAAAGAGCGGGCGAAGCTCACGAGGGGCGGGTCCGTTGGAGCCGAGACGATCGCCGACTCTTCAAGGGGCGCCGGCGCCCAGCCACCATGTCTGCGACGCGCAGTTTCAAGACCGCCTTGTTCGGGGCCATGTGCGCCCTCTCTATTTTCGGCCGCCTTGCCATGGTCGAAGCCTGCGCGCCTGCGGACTCCAACCCTGGCCAGATCTGCGAGCAGTAGGGTCTGGAGTCCGCGCGGCTCGGACTACATGCCGACTTCGACCTTTGTCAACCAGCGCACCGACCAGCAGAATAATATCATTCGGAGGAAGCGACGGAGGAGCCAGCGGATCTTCGAGAACAGCATGCGTCTCATCGAGCACCAGGTCAGCAACCTACAGGGCTCGGTCATCGCCGAGCCGCTGCACAACAACCGCTCTTGGGAGAAGACTTGCTGGAAGGATCTATACAAGCTGCTACCCTGCGAGGTCATCGCGGATGGTGCGCCTGTGGACCTACGAGCCCCCGATACCGGAGAGCTCGCGAAAAAGCGCTGGAAGTTCCTCGCCAAGAACAAGCGCATCTGGGTAGCCCGTCAGCCACTTCACTGTCGCGGGGGACACTCATGAGGAGATTGATGGCGGCGGCCGAACCGAAGCCTCCGGAATATATACGAAGTTGCTCTGCCTGAGGGCTCTTGCGCGCAGCGCCATTTTAAGCGACTTCGAAGAGGAGGTCGTGAACTGCCACTGCTTAGGCAGCTACCCGGCAGCCCCCCGCGGAGCCAGGCCCCGGAGTCGGCGGAGGAGTTGCTGCCTCCTATGGACGGGAAGGGCTCCTTCGGCTTAACGAAGGAGGCGATCAAGAAGCTGGAGAGCTACGTGAGACTGGCCCACACCATTTTGGGACATCTTCCACGCGCTAATCTCAATCGCTATCTCTGAGATCGAGGTGCCCGACCTGAAGTACTACGGGCCGCTCGCAATTTTAAGCGACGCCTGCGACTCTCACCGACCTCCTACGAAGCGGCCACCAGCATCATCAGCAGTTCTACCGCAGAATGGCCACGCAGTTCTATGTGACGCCTTCTCTTGGATTCGTCACAGCACGAACGCCAACGCTATGGCGCTCGCGGTTCTGGGCGCGGGTTCCGACATTCTCTGCGCGCGTTTGATCGACGAGAAGAAGATACCAGAACAACTATGTCAAGTACGATCTGGGGACCTACGACATTTTCGCCACCAAGTGACCAAGTGGTTCCCGTGGATGGGGCGCCCTGATCGTCATGCGCTGCGACCAAGCTGGCAGCGCAGTCCCCCGCGAGTTCAGGGAGTGGGTCGAGAGCCACGGCATCGACTGCCTCCCGTGCGCTGCTGACGCACGCTGACAGATCGGGAGGATCGAGCGCGCCATCGAAGCCTTCGAAGAAGCCCTCGATGCCTTCGACGAGATGATCTCCCCCGACGCGGCTACCAGCGAGATGTTCGGCCTCCAGACGGCAGCCCGCAACGATCTCACGAGGGTCAACGGCTTCAGTCCACTTCAGCGCTGCGCCCGAAGGGCGCCTTACGGGGACGATTATCAACCTCGACGACGAGCCGCGCAATCTCTTGCTCACTAGCGCCGGGCTACAGGACAGCGCGTTCGCCAGAGATGTTCAGATACGTCGACTATCCCGACTGGCCCACATCCAGACATAAATCCGATAGAGTCAGGAGGGCAGAGGCGGCGAAGTTCAAGTCCGTCAAGAAGAACAACTGTGGAAACTTAATTGTCGTCTACCGCAGGCTGCCACCTGGAGCCTGGAGGAAGAAGGGGCAACCGCGATCAATGCCCAGACGAGGACGGCGGCGCGGATCTGGACGAGTACTTTGTCACGAACCCGCCAGCTCTGGACGCCGACCTGGTCTATTTGGCGCAGTCGTGAACATTTCCCTGGCAGGACGGCTCTGCCGAGTTGCACCCGAACTGCCACGATCAGCCACACCTTCTGAAGAAGCTACGGGCGCGCTCCGATCTCGGAGCGAACAGCCAGGCACCTGGGCGTTCGGGGAGGTACATGAGCAACTCGACACCAGCGAGGTGATCGAACTCACCAACGAGCCGCCGCCCACCAGTGACGACCTCGCCTACGACGACGGGGAGTCTACAAGCGTTCGGACGCTCGAGCACAACCCAAGTGGAACCTGGGCCGTTGATGAAGATGACGACAGGCCTCTGCCATCGCAAAGGGCACCCCCAGGCTCGCGCACCCGGAGGGGGAGGAGGAGCCGCGTCATCTCCAGCTTCACGACCAGCCCATCACCACCAGTACCTACGAGACGGTTGCGACGGAAGACAAATCCGTGGACGGTGGAGGAGCACAGAAGCCATTCATAGAAGACGTGCCACCAGGGCCACCACCTGGACTCGAATCACCTGCTGAAGGGCCACCTGCAGAAGATGCTGAAGTCCCAGCCGAAGCTGACGAGGAAGCTTCACAGTTCGACCCGAAGGACGATGACATGGAGGATGGGGCCTCGCAGAAGCCCTTCCCGGACGGCTCAGAAGCTGGAAAACTGGCGGTAAACCCTGAATCCGAGGAAGCTCGATCAGAGCTACCCCAGAAGCGGACTCTGGACCCTGACGAGATGGCTGGGCCCCCTCGTCAAGAAGTCCAGAATCAGCGTCGCAATTCAGGAGGACTTCCTCTACTATTTGCAGCAGCAGCAGCAGCGCGACGAGAGCAAGGAAGAGGACGAGCTGATCGTGTTGGAGAGAGATTCCAGTTAACAATGAGCACGTCTTTATGCACTGTTTCGAGGACCTGAGCAACGCCGGGGCCTCGCAGGCTCGCAAGGGTCGAGTGGGGGTTTCTTGCGTGGCGGCAGCGCCAGA